TTCAGGGCATCAAAAAGATTTTTTGGTTCTCTGCTCCTCAAAAAGCGAGAAATATCTTGATTAGAATGAAGAATAAATCTTTGTAGGGCTAATTCTTGGATAGTTTTGGAACGACCTTCAGCTTCACTAGCATTATGAAAACTTACCGAATTTAGTAAGCGAGTGCTAAGTTTATCGATCCGATTGTAAAAATTGATAATAGATTCGTTTTGAAATTGTTTAATTGTGTTGAGTTCTTCCATAATTTGGGTATAATGTTTTCAGAAAAAAGTTGTAATAAAAGAGTTTTTAAGTCGTGCCATTCGGCAATTGGCTTATCTCTCATTTGCGCTTTTGCACTTCCAGTTATTTTAGATATGATATAAGCTAATAAAGGATCTTTTTGAAAATCATTAGAAAATTTAAAAGCGTTTTCACAATTTGAAATAAATTCGGGTAAATCATTTCGATTTCCGTCAAAAGTTTTAGAAATTAATGAACACAAAAAGGTCAATAAGACTGGGCAACAATTTTTAGTCGATTTGGGAGCCGAAGTTTTGATAGTCCCCGCAAATTCAAAAATTAAGCTCGCACCTGCTAAATTTAAACTTTTTGCAACGAACGATACGCCCATAGAAACGTATGGCGAATCCCTTCGCGAATTAGACCTTGGTTTGCGACGCTTCATCAAGTGGAATTTTTATATCGCCCCGTAGATTCTTATGGCATAATCGGTGCAGATCTTTTATACCATTATGGGTTGCTGGTCGATTTAAAAAGGCGTCGTATCAATCATCGATGAAGCAATCGGTATTGTTGCGTTCAAAAACTTCAGTTCAGCAGAGATACACTCTATTCACTATTTTGATCCGAATCTTCCCATCTCTAATTTGTTATTAAAATTTCCTGAAATTACTGGGTCAAGTAAGTTGTCACCCCCTAAACCCCAAATCAGTTGTTCTCATAACTGCTGATTCTAGCTTTTCAGATTATGATAAAGTGATAAATAATTTAACTGCCTATTGTGCCAGGTTTATCCAAAATTTAAAATTAATCAAACATAATCTTCAAACATGACAACTGAAACCCCTCGAACGTGAAAATGCTTTAACTAGTCTTGTCAAAATAATTTAAGTTGAATCATTTCCCAATGACATGCGAGATTTAAAAACAAAAAATTGTGTAAAACCACAGAGCCAATGAAAATCCTTGAACCCATTTATTGACAAAACAGGAGTTTTACGAGTCGGCGGTCGGCTTCAATACACGAACCTTGTCTATCAAGCAAAACACCCTATACTTCTACCCAAAACACATACTTTTACTCGTTTACTAATAACACACATACGCGAACTGAATTTCCATTCTGGAACATAATCTACTTTATCTTTCGTAAGGCAGAAATTCTGGCCCTGTTTCGCTACACTGTAGCTTCATGCCCTGTTTCGCTACACTGTAGCTTCATCAGACAGTCTGATGAAGCTACATTGTAGCGAAACATGTTACTGTAAATAAATTAGTGAAAATTAAGTATCAATACTTTTTATTGCTTTTTCCAACCATGGATGATACAGGGTGTCTGTTTTTCGAGGTTAACCATTAGGATCTCGGAAATGGTAAGAGATTTCGGTTTTTCCCGATTATCCCCGAAAGCAGAATTTTTCAGTTGGCAAAACGGCGTTTCATCCAGCATCAAATTACGCTCTTGACCATTTCCGACATTCCAATGGTTAACCTCGAAAAACGGACTTCCTGTATTTGACATTTATATTAGGTACTAATTAGTTAAAAATATGCTCTGGCTAAAAAATTTCTGATTTGTCGGCCACGGGTGAAAAAGTTATTCATTTCCAAGCGTCTCTCTTCTTGTAAATTATTTTCAAAATTGTCTATTATTTCGTTTTCATAATCTTCATTATCATCTAGGATGAGTGGAACGTTGTTTACTACACAAATATTGAGGCACATGCCGTAACAATTTTATCAACTGTTATAGGGGCATAGTGCAGTACTCTATCTTTGGAAAGGCACCTAAACCTGTTATTAAACTCTCCAAAGGTCTTTTCAATGAGCACTCTAATTTGCCTCATCCTCTCATTGAAACGAAAATTGGGCGTTCCAGGGGCTGATTGGGGAAAGTAGGACGTCATTAGCCAGGGTCTAACAGGATAGCCAGAGTCCCTTAAAAAAAAATGTAAAAATATCTTTTCAGCTAGTAATAAATATATTCTTATTCAAAGGTACAAACTTAAAAGTAAACAAAAAAAAATTTAAAGTAGGTATGTTCTTGCCAGGAAATTTCTGATTTCTCTGCCTCGTTGCAAAAAGTTCTCATTGGGCATATTCCTTCCTGTACCTTCTACCAAAGCGTTTTCAAAGCCATCCAATCCATCGTTGACCATTCCTCATCCTCAATTAATGGAATATTATTTTCCACGCAAATGTTATGCAACACCATGCATGCCGTTACGATTTTTGATACTCTTATTGGGGCATAGTGCAACACGCGATCCTTCAAAAGGCAGCGAAATCTATTTTTCAGTAGGCCAAAACATCTTCCGATTAGGACTCTAATTTGCCTCATCCGCACGTTGAAGGGAGCCGCTGGTGTTTCAGGGGCAGGTTCCAGGAGGTAAGGATTCATAAGCCAGAGTCTCAATGGGTAACCTCACCTAAAATGAAGAGACATATTTATTTGTCGAGGAGCAAGGAACACTCTATTTTTGGTTAAAATGATAGATGCTTTTCTTCTGATTCCAAATATACCATACATGTTGATATTTGGTTCAGCTGTTTTTATGCTATTTAAGTTTAAAATTGCATTAAGTCTCACCATTGATATAAGGAACCGAGAGCAGACCTAATTTCGGGTAATGTTTTGTTTCAATAAAAATTTCGCCCCCTTTTCTCATTGTAGATAGCCAATAACCCAGAATAAAAAATTAAAAACCAAGCTGACACTGAATAAAAAGTCGTGTTTGATTTTTCTATGAATGTATTTTATGTAAGATTAACTGTATCCGTACTAGGAAAATAAGTGTCAAACCATTAAGTCCCGAAGTTCAGAAATGAAATATCCAATCTATTTTTCTGAGAGATTTGGCTTAATTGTATACCTAACACTCACCCTACAAGTAGAAATTACCCAAATGATCATTCTGTAACGTTGATATTTCCAACTTGAGGCAGTTCATTCGGTTCCTAGAAAAATATCGTAAGATCAAATAAAACACGATATATACTCACGAAGTTCTTTTGTTTTAATGGCTCAGTGCATAACTATGTTTCAATTAGCCTGTCCGAGCGAGATTGTGGTAAATACCAGCGGTTATTATGTCAAATGTCAAATTACGTCACGGTTAAGCCGGTCGCTAGGATAAACTGGTATTTACCATAACCTCAATGAAGATGGTGTTTTTGTTTATGCGAAGTCTATTTAAATATGTTTTCAACTTTTGTTTTTAATTTGTCTACAGAGAAAAGTTCCACCTTTATTCTTTAGTTTTGAAACCTGAACCCTGAACATAATGGGTTCGAGAATAGACAAAAACAAGATTTCTATGATTTTTGGTTCTGCATGGCAGGAAATATTTGAGGAAAATCCAATCATGTGGGATTTATTGCTTAAAAATCATTCAAAAAAACGCTTTTATTATATCTTGGAAAAAGTACAAAACCATTCTATGTCCCCCAAGCGATCCACTTTGGGTAAGTGGCTAACTGATTATGAAGACCACCAATTCTATAAACTGTTTAGAATGACAAAAAAAACATTTGAAAACTTATGCTATAAAATGTGTTCAAGTGATACTTGTGGACTTATTATTAAAAAGTATCGGGGAGGTCATTTTCCTATTTTACCAGAGATGTCAATTTTAATTTTTTTGTGGTACATGGGATCAAAAGACACCTACATAAGTATTGGAAATCGCTTCTCTGTATCACCACAAACAGCAAATGATATTGTTAATGTTTGCTTATTTGTAATTATTTCCCTTAAAAAGACGTATATAAAATGGCCAGAGACTGCCGAAGAATTTTTAGAAACAACTAGGACATTTACCCACTATCCAGGTAAGCTGTTTTTGGATTTATTATAATTAGTTTAGTAAAAGTTAATTTGCGTTAATTGGTTTTTAATGAACATCTTTATTCTACCTAATTTTTTTAACCCAAGCCGGATTATGAATAACTTGATAAAAAATAAGTTATTTTCAAGGGGTAGAGGATGTAGACTGTTGTGGAAATACTTTACACAAGCATTTCAATTCTAGTTTAATAGCTACAGAAAAGTAGAATGATCAATGTGTCCATAATCTCTAAAATGACAGAAATCATCTAGGAAATTATATAATATATTGAATTTTTAAGTCTTATTTTTATTTAGGAACAGTTGGCGCAATAGATGGGAGTCATATTTTCCTTAAAGTTTCCAAAGAGCAACAAGACAGTTACATTGATAGGTATACCAGACATTCAATCAATTTGTTGGCCATTTGCAATGGAAAAAGGATATTCACCTACATATTTGTTGGTTTTCCTGGTTCTGCTCATGATTCGAGGGTATGTTGGAACTAGAAATAGTAGGTATATCATGGAAAATTGACGATAATAACCATTTTAGGTTTTCTCAAATTCGTCGTTCTTTATGAACATACAAAATTATGGCCCACAATTGTATTTTCCAAGTCCTGATTACCATTTAGTTGGCGATAGTGCTTTTCCCTTAAGGACTTGGTTGATGACACCATATAGAAGAAATGATAATTTGGACAGGCAAAAAAAACATCACAATTATTTGCTAAGTGCGGATAGAGTAGTGATTGAAAATGGTTATGGTATAGCAAAAAACCGGTGGGCTAGAATTCAGTATGTAAATACGAATTCTGTCGGCAAGGCCTGTGAGATAGTTAAAGCCAGCTGCATTTTACACAACTTTTGCTACTTGCAAAATGATGCTTGGGATGAACGGCATATGGATTACAAAAGCAAGGAGAAATCCACAATTGTCTATGATGCCAGCGAGGATGGAAGAAAAGGAAGGGAAAAAAGAGATTTAATAAGTGCTAACCTTAGAGAAATGTAATATTTTTATTATTAAATTTTTACAAATTTGTATAATATTTATATCCATACTGTATCTACCTAGAGGTAATATCAAAAGTTTTAATTTTTATTATTCAATGTTACTTGTATTTCCAAATAAAATCTACTTTTTTCAAATTTAAATTTTTGAAAGTCTTTTATTGGAGCATTGCACCACAGTCTTTATTTGATTTTAGGAACACAAAATCACTCGAACTTAAGTATCTAAATGTTCAAAGAAACAACAAAAACATTAATTAGAGGGTATTATTAAATAAATCTTAAACTGCATTTAGGTATTGTGTAAGGAACGCCTAACACTATAACAAATAGGAACTACCTACCACCAAAAAAACAAAAACAGGAACTTAATAAACATTATTTTAAAGCTTTCTTATGAAAAATCAATAGTAAAAGTAGGTACCTATCAAAATGATTTAGTCACTGTGACTGTCAGAGTCTTCACAGTTGGGGCGTCTTTTTTTTCTGGGAGGTTCTTTAGAGGGAGCCTCGACTGGAGCTATTCTTTTCAAAATATCCAAAAATTCTCGTCTTTGATCATTTTGAGTCACAAGAATTTCTTCTAGTTTTTTAAATTGTTCCTTATCCTGTTTTCTATCCTTTTCACTTTCTTCTTTAATTATCTGGCAAATTTTGGCTGTAGCTGTTTTTGGGACAATTGTACTGGAAAATCTTTTTTTTATTTCGTTTATTTTGTCTTGTCGATTGTCTGCTTTAGCCTGGACTTCAGCTAATGCTGTTTTGGGCATACTTGGCACTTCAGTGGCTTCCGAGGTAGATTCGCTGATGATGTCTTCACTATCTATCAGCATTCTGGGGTTGGTTTTATCTTTGCTTCCTGTAAAAAACAAAAGCAAGAATCAGTGGGTATACTTCCTTTTTACTCTTTAAAATATTTTTTCTTGAAACATGTGAGACATGAAAAAACCCAATTTTTTAATAACACCATTTTATAATTTATAATAACAGTCTTTGTGATATCTGGCTGAAACACATAATTTTATGTGAAGGCAACAAATCCAACAAGTCTATCTGATAATAAAGATTTATCGGTATTTATCAATTTATTTATCCAAATCTTTAAATATGCATGCAATAGGTGAAAAATATTTAAATTTACATTAAAATCACAATTTTTATAAATTTGATGGTACCTAAGTGAACGAACGAATCACTTGTACAAATTATTTGTAGTTTTCAAAGTAGTTTCAATTAAAAATATTTTAGTACCTACCTAATATTCCATGAAGAATGTCAAAAAATGGTGGAGTTTCTATTCTTTCCACACCCGTTGTTTTCAAATGTTTCATATGTTCCAGGTATTTTTTTTGGAGATTGGCCCACTTCTGACGGCATTTTTCTACAGGATCTTTTCCTAGGTTGTAGTTTTCCTCCATAAGTTTTTTTGCAATAATTTTCCAAATGGATGTTTTGGTGGTTTTGGTATCATTAAATTTATCTTTATATTGATCTCTCAAAGAAAGGAAAAGCTCCGTTGCCATCAAATCTTTTTCAGTTGGCTTTTTTTTGCACCATATCTCTTCATTTTCGACATTTTCTTTACCTTAAAATAAGAAAAAAAAAATTACAAAAATGTAGTGTTTGAGAAAATAGGTGCATGTCAAGGGGCATATAACTACAGCGTTTCCCTGAAGTAAACCATAAAATAAAACTAATAAATCATGCTTTATTCTCTTAATAACTGCAAGGTTATTCAGATTTTAGGTAGGCACAAGAAATAATTAAAAATTAGAACACATACCATTTTGAACAGAAGAAGTTCTTGATTCACCTAAATCTTGTTGTGGCACATTAAAGTTAAATAATGGTACTTGTGTATCCCTGGATCCCCCAGGAATGGGATATTTGTCAGGATCCAACCTGTTTAAAAATTCAAACGCTGCATGTTGGTCTAAAAAAAAAAACTGTAATACCAAACTCCCACAATATTTTAAGGAAGAGTTTATTTAATCATCATAATTCGCAAACAAATTAAACACCTACCATTCAATAGCAAATTGGCTGTATCAAAATCTTCAGTCATAACTTGGACATCCTGACCCATATAATTTATGGACAGTAAATAACTTTCCCCATTATTAGACATGATTCAAAGTAGTTTATCACCTAATAATAAGCAAAATAAATCACAAAAAAAAGTACTAAAAACGGCCAAATTGTTTTGTTTACAAATAATTGGACGCTTGTCGATTGTCAAACGTTACATACCCTGCTCCCGAGCAGGGTTACTAGCGGTTTAACCGGTGACGTCATTTTACGTCAAACGATCACGTTGCGGTTAATACCAAGCCTCGCTTGGATGAACCGGTATTTACTTTTGGTATTAACCACCCCTCGCTTGGACAGGCTAAATGAATATTTATTCCTATTTTGATTATGGTTTTGTTGTTGTTCCGCTAACCTGACTTTGGACGTACTTTGGACTGTCATTAAATTGCTGCCACTTGACGCTTTCATTTGGTCGTGAGTGACTTGCTCTCGTTGCTCTCGGTTGTACCCGGTTGCACCCAGTTGTACTTAGGTGTTTTCTTTGGGGCTTTCTAGGAGACTGTAATCCCACCTGTCAAACTTGGTGTGACCACGTGTTTCATGAGTACAAATTGACAATGTCGGTGAGAGGGGGTTTTTCTGCCACCCTTTAGGGGAGCTTCCGGTTTGTCCGAGTTTTTGTTTATGCATTTTTACGTGCGCCACGTGCGGCGAATTCGAAATAATTCGGAAAAATTCTAGAATTCAAAATTTCGTGGAATTTGAGGGGAACTTCCGGCGAGTCCTTTCTTGTGGTGCCATCATGCCTCGCGTCAGGCAGTCTCAGTTCAGTAGTGAGGTGGAGAGCAGCTCTTTGAGGAATAGTGGACCATTTTCCGGAAGTCTTTGTCTGGAATCTCGTGCTCTTCTGGTATACGAAGTGAGGATTAGTGGTCCCTGTCCGTATTGCGAAGATTTTTCCTGTAGGAGGATCAAGGAATTGTGCATTCGAGGGACTTCACACCCATTTTTGGGGAGTATTTTAATTGCTGCTCTGCCACCGCCCACGTGCTTTACCCGATACTTTCGTCGGTGAAGCTCCTCACTACTGAACTGGTCCTCAAAAACCCCTGAAAACGCATCCATTGGTGGGCATTTTTTTTTCCTTTATTTTATATTATATTTTTCCCGAAGTCTGTATGTCTGGGATTTTTTTTCCATTACCTCGTAGGCCAAAGTCATTGGCTGAGGAATGTTCCTTTTATTTTATATTTGGGTTTGAGCTAAAGAATTTCGATCTTCTATCACTATTTCGTCGAGGCTTGTAGAGCCAGATAAGTACTTATCAACCATACCGTTTCACTTGTTTCTTTTTTTTTTAATTTTTAATATTTTTTATTACGCATGCATCATAATCAACGATTATCGCACGCTGCAGCGTGCATACAATGATGTTTATGATGCGTCTACCTTTTCAAAGGTTTGCTATAGAAACGTTCGATCTACCTTCATTACCTAGATATTTACCTGCATACCTGCCATTCAAATTACTACTTATCAAAATGAATGAACACTTTTAAAACATTTTTGAGATTATGATGCATTCGTAATAAAAAATAGCGTATGATATGCGTGTATAAAAGGGCATTTAAAGCCCTTGCGACTTACAAATATGTCACGCGTGCTTTAAATGCCCTCTTATACACTTATTTCATAATATACTATTAATACCTGTTTGATCTTACCTCAATCATTTTGAGACCCGTTATATGGTAGGCATTTCTTTTCTTAAATAATAATTCAACTACTGTTTGTCAAATATAAGGGAACGGCCCTACCCTTAACCGAGGTGCCACACCCATTGATTATATTAAACAAATCGTGGCCAAGTAGGCTAGTTCTCGGCACGCTCGTTCGGGGTGAAGGTATCCCGCCTCACAGGGACAACAGCAGCCTAATTTTTGGGACAATTTACAACGATTATTTTTTTTAGGTTGGTTCAGAACCTGGCAAGTTCGTGGTTAGTGCTTGGGTCTGGACTTAATAATTTTTCAATCTACCATCTGTTCTACAAGCGATAAGTGGCGTAACTACGTGGCGCCTTATAAATATTTACAGCTTTAAGACCCACCCCATTCTCCACTGTTTAAAAGCTGCCGGACTCACTTGTCGCAGACTTTATACCAATCTGGGAAATTATTATTGCTTATTCTGTTTCTGTCAGATTTAATAGGGAACATCTAAATTTTACGCCATAATTCGATATGGTTCTTAGAAACCCCTCTACCCTGGAATTTCTCCAAATAAAAGAATCATGCGTGCTTCCAGGGTATCTGGCATTAATATTTAGAATTTTCATTTTTTCATCGCATATCTAAAACCATAAATCATTACATATATATTCCATAAAAATTAGTCATAATGGCAGCGACAGCCTAACCAGAAAAATATGTATACTTATAAATGATACTGGCGGGTAGTATTTTTTTTTTTGTAAAACATTTAAATTTTCTCAGGTACAAAAAAAAAAGTCTAACTACCGTGCTTTGACTATAACCGATAACAATCAGAATGAGTATTTTCCCCAAATAAGCTGACATGTGGACACTTACCATCTGAATAATCAACGAATGGAAATTCTTCCTGTTTACATAAACATGCTCATTTTCTACTGGCGTTGTCAGAGCAATATGTGTGCAGCTATGATTCCGGATATTCCTGGAATATTCTTTACTTCGAAAAATCTAAAGAAAACAGAATGTTGTATCTTAAAATTACCTTATTTCTTCTAAAACTTGTAATAGTTAAGAAATTGAGAAAGGTTATAGAACATAAAACTTGTTAGCTCTCTTCCTCCAAAGAGACTCTATAATCAAAATAACATGAAATTTTTGTGTGTGTTAAAGATACATTCTTAATAGGGAAAAGTGAAAATTGTCATGGGGACTTAGGGGAGCGCCAGGTTTTGGAAAGATATCAAAGACTGTTGACATCTAATACACCTTCGGGGGATAATAATTACAGACAGAATTAATGTTTCAAAATAATAAGCAAATTAAAATGCACATTCCACCTATACAAAATTTCAAGAAAGTATACAGACGTCTCCCTTAAGTTCCTCAATTCTTCCATTGTAGTAGGATAGTGACAGAACCTATTCACTATAGCCGGCTGGTTGGATGCCTCCAATACTTAATTTAAAACTTGTAAAACAGATGGCTGGCTTATTTTCATGCAGTGGTTTCGGCCAACATCTAGTTGATAACTTCTACCAGCAAATTAACTGATGTCAAAATCTAAAAACAATAGTATAATAATACTTGAACAACAAATGCAATGATGAGGTACCATAAATAAACGTACCTTGACTCTGTTTGTTATGGCATCCACTCTGTTTCTTACTGGAAGAAAGGTTCAAGCATTTCCTCCAGATTTTCGACGTCCTGCTTGCGAAGCCTGTAAAGTTTCACGAAATTTCTGTCGGAAAACTCGAAAGGATCGTCGGGAGAAAATCGCTGCCTTTCCACTTGCATATTCTTTAAAATAATACCTCCTATATAAGGAAGTGCCATTATATGAGGTATATTTATAGTAACGGGAACACAAAACACAATATCCACAGACCACAAATAATGCACCGAAACTTTACAAAAATCAATTTTGTCAATTTATAAAAGTCTACGAATAGGTTGAGCGATGGGCAAACGGCAACCAAATGGTAGGTGTTTTCAGAATAATTGCTGCGCGTTGAGCGCGGTTGTACTGCGCCAGGCGTTAAAAACACGTGAATATCATTTTTGTTAGTTTGGTAACGTGGTTTGCGAATCTGACGTCATAACTTGCTGAGCGAAGACCAAATGCCAAGCGTATTGAGGTACGTGAATACCGGTCCAGAAGATTTTGGAGATTTTTGTTGTACTACTTTTTTTTGATCGAACTGTTGTATAGTACCTATACAGAAGATTTTTTTTCTACGGTTTTCAACAAAATCACAAATTCGAAAAACAAAATCTGCGCTATGAATAATGCCAGCAATAATGTGATTTAAGGAGAAATTTTCGTTAAGATTTTGGCTAAAGACAAGCTAAGTCTAATTTATAATTACCATTTGTTTTCATAATAGCTGCCACGCTTTTCACGCATTTTCCACTTTCAATTCATTATCCCATATACAGGCGGAAGATTCCACATTTCCGATAAAAGTTCCTTGCTCCAAATTCATTTCGGGCACAAAAAAAAAACACTCTCGAAAAACAAAATTACAAAGGACTCAATAATTATTATAACAACTCAAAAAAAAATATGTACACCTTGAAAACAAACTGAACTGGCCACTGGCACGAGAATAATGAACCACGCGATTCCCTAAAACACTGATCAAAATATTTTTGTAACCCTCCATTCCCACCCTAGCTTTTGATAGTTGATACTGTGAGAGACGCACGCGTAAAGGCCAAAATTTAGTGCTTAATTCTTAAAAAGTTAAAAAACTTTGTGAATTGTGCATTATACACTAAATCACGCATTACGTACTGAGAGTTGGCTAAACGGCTACATATAAAACTGAAGTTTCAAAATTAAGCATCAACAAAAACTGGAACAAATGTCTTATTACATCTCTCTTTTCCCTTGTTTTCTCAACTGGATTTCAGGATCCGTCTCTGCTCCAAAGTCCGTTTGTGGATCTGGTAAATCATCTAGTTCCCTCTTGCAACATTTTGTTATTTTCAAAACTGAATGCATATCATGCTGCAGTAATTGCTCGAATCTTGCTATCAATATTCCAAAAACAATTTTCAATTCTTATTCGACATGATGAAAATTTGGTACCTATTGATTTTTTTTATTGTTTGTTAAATTCCTATAATCCTTGTAGGATGTTATTAAGTATGTTCTACGTGGATATGCATTCTCTCCTAATAGATGATATTTGACAGCACATAGAGAGTTACTAAAAAGTACTGCAACGCTTAAATATCTTCAAAATCGCTTAAGCCACGTTCACACAATTTGGAATCTGACAGTTTTGCGCTACACGTAGTGTTTGTTATCCTAAATAGAATTTCCCATTTACGCGTTTCAAATTTGATAAGATTCCAAATTTTCACCATTCTCTCTGTCAAGACCGCATTTTCAGTAAAAAGTCTCGCAAAGCTTGAATATCTTTGAAAGCTTAGTTTGAAACCCGCTTAAAACCCATTAGCGCCCAGTGATACCACTTGGTATCGCTAAAATGTGGGTAACCGAGACGCGCGGCATATCGCTGTGAGTGGTAGGGGAACAATTTCAGCCAGCTGCTTTGCTTCTCCCTACATCAACGTCACGCCTAAACCGTTTTGGCGGATAGTTGTTCCTCATTGCTTACAAATTTACCGTTTTTCT